AGAAACCCTATATAGGGTCGCTGTGGGCCAGAACCAACTTGATGGCACATAACAACAACAACAACATAGTTGGGTTTGGAGTCACCGAGTGGTCAAACTGTAAATGCTTGAGTACTAGCTGACAGTTGGCAGTGTGAACCCATTCAGAGATGCGTCTCAAGATAGGCCTGGCCATCTGCTTCTGAAAGGTCACCTGGAAACCCCCCTGGAGCAGTTCTGGTTCACACACATGGGGTTGTCATGAGGTGGAATTGACTTGATGGCAGCTAACAAGAAAAACAAAAATTGAATTTAAAAATCAAAGATGGCCTAAGTGCTGAAGTGACTCCACTAAAGTTAGGTCTTGTTTTAAATCTTTGAACCTCCTCAGTTTGAGTCCTATTTTGGAGGCTGCTGTCTCTAAGTCTGGCTTTTAGAACCTCCAACAGCATCAGGTACATGGGCTTTTCCAAAACTCAGTCAGCAAACAAGTTACTTACACAGAATCAAGACCAACCGATGATTTCAAATAGTAATTTTCCCTGCGTAAAAGAGTAAATAAAGAATGCAGCTATGTTGTAGATGTTTTAAGATGGTTGCTGCTTGGATGCTGTGGTGGGGCTGAACAAACTCCCTGCACTGAGCTGCCTTCTTCATAGCCACTTAATCTGGGCTGCCTTCCTGCCATGCCCATGGGCTTACAGCAGGCCACTAGTGACGGAAACACGTAAGTCAGTTAGGTAATGAATGTAGAAGCATTCTTGGCATTCAACGATTGCACTCTCTTTGAAAACCATTTTTCATATAGCCATAAAACAATTGAGAGGATCTCATTTTGTCCACACATACACAACATTTAATTTTTCGGTAATTTGGAAACTTGAGAAAACCCCGAATAAAAATAGGACTATGAAAAGTGCAATTCAGATACTGAATCCCCAGAAGAAGCAGAGTTTTTTTTCCCCCCAATGTTTTATTGTGAATTATATGATAGTTTACATGGGAAAACATTAGTTTTGCATTCATCCTATCGTATATCGTTTCATTGCCATGGTTTACAGTTCCCTCCATGCATCATCAAACAGTTGTTTTTTGAAGACTTTCAATTAATTCCTTGCTGTGTGTTACAAATTACTGTCTGTTATATCTGTCCTAACTCTTCTACATCCTTGTATCTCATTGAGCTCTGGTATCCATGACAATCATTTTCTAGTGCAGGAATCATTAAATATAGCTCCGGTTTGACAGGGAATATACTCTTTATGAACTTCCCCTGGCTTTGAGGCACATGAGATTATTTCTGCAGAATATTAGTTAGTTACCCAGGGCCCACGGATGACAGATCTCAGGATGTCGGAGAATCCCTTGAAATTGTAGTACCTTTTTGTTGCTACTTGGCAGCAGTAGTGGGACTGAAGAAACTTACACATATTTTTCTAGGGACAAAGGCAATGGTTTTCTTCAGATTCTTAGGTTTATGACTTCGAAAATGTTAAAACGATATCACTGCAGACTCTCATTGACAGTTGATACAGCTTCACTCTTTATAATATAGTTATTCCAGTGGCTCCCTGGTGGTGCAGTGGTTAAGCACTCAGCTGTTAACAAAAAGATTAGGAGTTTGACCCACCAGCTTGGGAGAAAGAAATGGCAGCCTGATTTTGTAAAAATTACAGTCTTCAAAACCCTATGGGGCAGTTCTATACTGTTCTATAGGGTCACTATGACTTGATGGCAGTGGGTTTGATTTCTTTTGTTTCAATATTCTGTTTTATTTCCTCTCTACTTTTTCCCATTACTTGATGAGATTATTTTGTATTACACTCATTAAAGTGTATGAAGCCACATGAAAGAAGAGTTTCAGATTGTATACACAAGGGGGCTTCAAAATGTCATGGAAAATGGAATTAGAAGATAATGAAATTTTTCTACAAACTTTTTGAAGCCCCCTTGTATGATGATCTATAAAATTTGTTTTTAAATTCTCTCTAATTCTGTGGTTATTACATTTTCAATTTAAAAGTAAAACAGCCATTCATCCACTGCTGGTGGAAATGTAAAGTGGTACAGGCCTTGTGGAAAACACTATGACCGTTCCTCAAAGGGTTGAACATAGAAATACTATATGACCCACCTGTTCCACTCTTGTATGCCAGAGAGACTTGAAAGCAGTGAAGGAAGGAGATCCACACAGGGGCACTAAGTTCACTGTGTGAACTTTCTGCAGCACTATTCATCATAGTTAAAAGGTAGAAACAACTGAAATATCTATCAACAGAAGAATGGATACAAAAAATACACAAACAGGCCATGGAATATGAGGGGACTTCAAAAAAGTTCTTGAAAAAATTCTATTATCTTTTGATTCCATTTTTAAAACCCCCTTACATAATGAAAACTACCATATACTGCAGATTTCTGGTGTGACGCTGTGGGTTAATGTGCTGGGCTGCAAATTCAGTTTGAACAGCAAGGTCGGTAGTTCAAGCTCACCAGTTGTTCCTTGGAAATCCTATACAGAGTCGCTATGGGTTGGAACCGACTCAACGACACTTAACAATAACAACAGGAACTGTATACTACAGTAGCTATTTTCATAATTATATGCAGTCTTATTTCAGTTAGCAGCTTGTGTTTGGGACACTGATTTACTATCCCATGTGGCTTATGGAAGAACCCTGGAGGGCACTCTGGGTAAGTGCCCAGCTGCTTAAAGTTCAGCAGTTGGAATCCACTAGCTGTTCTTGGGGAGAAAGACGTGACAGTCTGTTCCCATAAAGACTGATGGCCTTGGATTCCCTATGGGGTAGTTATACTCCATCTTACAACAGAGTCCCTGTGAGTTGCACTTGGCTTGATAGCAGTGAGTTTGGTGGGTTTGAACTGTGGCCCATGCCTTTTATCTATGCATATGTTGGTCCACTATACTATCAGTAATATTAGAAGAAGCTGCACAACCATTACAGTTCATTGTAATATGAAAACAGTTGTTGCATTTCAAACAATCAGCCTTATTCCTTTCAAGTATTTATGAAATCATAATGAAAAATATTAATTCACTATAATTCAATCCTCATTTTTAAAGAAATTAAGGCAATTGATTTTAATTCTCTTCCTATCAGACCATTAAAGTTTGAATAAAGCCTTACTATAAAATTGTAGTTTCCAAAAATAAGTAAAATTGGCTTTTAATCTGTGATATAGTTATCATGTGATTTAGTATAAAATTTTTCTTTAGTAGAATAGCAGTAAAGCCAAATTTCTAAATAACATATTAGCATAGTGGTTACGAATCGGGCTGTGAACTGTAAGGTCAGCAGTTTGAAACTACCAGCTGTTCCGTGGGAGAAAGATGAGACGTTCTGTTCCCGTAAAGATTTACAGCCTCGGAAACCCTGTGCAGGGTCGCTATGAGTCGGAACCGACTCCACGGCACTTAACAACAACAACAACATATACCTTAATGGCGTGAAATATTCCCTAGCATCATTTTTTCTGAGATGGGGTGCTGCTCTCAAACTCCCACTTCTATACAATATGATGCCTATCTAGGTCCCAGGACAATTAATGATAATGTTAGCCATAAGAAAGGATTTTCTAGGAGGCAAATAATGATCATCAGGATAAAGAACGAATCCACCTTTTCTTCTTATAATGTTCTTTAATAGACTAGTAGTCTTCAAACTCTTGTAAAAGTACTGGACTGACAGTTCAAACCCACCAGCTGCTTCACTGGAGAAAGATGAAGCCTTATGTTCCCATTAAGATTTATAGCCTTGGAAATCCTATATTGATCACTATGAGTCATTATAGTGGGTTTTTTAAAATTGTTGTTCTTTAGTTGTTTAATTTTTTTTAGCAAAGTAAGAACTTATAAAGAAATTCAGTCTGTAAGGTAGATAAAGTACGTGCTGCTTCAAGGAGAGGGGACTCTTAGAACTCTCAGCGTCTGGAGACAAATCTGGACTAGTCTCTTCTATGTGGGAATGGTGTACAGCCTACACTAAGAGACTGGATGGCGAAACATTTCGTTTCCTAACGCTAGTGTTTTTCTTGTCTAGAATCTGAGGTGTCACACTGGATCTTCTTGGTTTAGTAGGCCATGCCAGAAGCCCAGCTTCATTCTGGGTATTAGCTAGGAAGAAAGAAGCATTTAGTCTATGATGTCCTTGTTCGGAGACTCTATAACTAATTTCCATAACAATTACAGAAATGTTTATTTTTGGACTTTTTAAAGAATGACTTCCTTGTTTAGAGTGAAATATATCTAGACCTTCATATGGGTCTAAGAGCTAAAATTGTTACAAAACGTCATGTGATCTTTTATAATTATAGATGTTTAACAGGAGTAGGAGTTGCCCCTGGGTGGAACAAAAGGTTAATGCTTAACTACTAGCTAAATGGTTGACGGTTCAAACTCTCCTGGGGGGCCATGGAAGACGGGCCTGGTGGTTTGCTTCTGAAAGGTTACAGCCATTAGAAAGCCCAGGGAGCACAGTTCTCCTCGGACACACGCGGGCTTGCTGTGAGTTGGAACTGACATGACAGCAGTAGGCTTGGTGTTGAAATAGTAGTAGTAACTTGAATTGCAAAGACTAATGAATTTAAATTCTCATGTGAGTATTTTTATTCCCTAGGTTGTTACTGTCGCTCTTCGGTGTCTAAGTGGACGTGTCCTGAAGAGAAGGTTTTTTAAATCTTGCAGTTCACAGGTGAGGAGATGAATAGTTTCTGAAATATTTTATTGGTAAATTTGATTGCTTATTCACATGCAGTGTAGAGCCTGATAGTTAATTTGATGATGGTCCAGGAGCACATATGTACTATATGCTACAGAAATTTGGGTGACTAGGCATGTCTGGTCTTTGAACTACGTTATAGATTGCATTAAAATTTTCATCACTTTTCCTTTTCCTAGTTTCTTTTTTGTTTTTCTTCCATTTTTGTTTTCTTCAATTTTTGTGACTTGGTATCTAATAATGCTTTCAAATCCTTATGGAGCTAAAGAGCTTATTTCCTTTTGTCCAAATAGACTCTATCATAAAATCAATACTATTTTCTTTGGGAACAGTGTAGAAAACAGAAAAGAAGAGAAATTAAAACGTCATCTGTGGTCTGACACTAAAATTAATTAATGATACTAGGGTGTATTTCAGTTTATGAGTGCATTGAAACATGAGGCGGCTTCAGAAAGCTCAAGGAAAAACTGAATTAAAAAAAAATAATGAAATTTTTCTAGGGGAAGGTAGAATTCCCACTGAATAGTTTTCATCTTGTCTAGACGGGTCTGGTGAAAAGAGATGGGGATAAGATTCTTATGATTCAGTAGTAATTGTTAAGACTAATTGCAACTGTCACAATTGTAAAGGTAGACGTTTTGTAACAAAAAGTGGGGAGTAGTTAATCTTACAGTGTAGGAACAGAGGACCATAGGACCATCAAGGGAAAAGAGCACAAGCTGAATATGGGACCCTATCCAGAGAAGCAGCGACACCAGAGATGGAGGCAGAGATGAGGACATGGAGAGATAAAGCAACTGAGGACTCTAGACTCATGGAAAGAGAAAGACTGAGTGCTGGCGGCCAAGAGGCAGGATTGTAGAATGTGTCCTTTGGTCATTTAAATTATTATATATTCCTGAGTATTTTTGTGTATATCCCCCCAAAGAAAACAAAAAACAGAAGGAATAGAAGCAAGTACTGTTGAATGATGAAAAAATAAAGAGAATAAACCATAAAGTTAAAATGGAACTTGGAAAAAATGTTTGTACCATCTGTGTATTACTGATAGAGCAAATTTTTATGAGGCATATACACAAATCAAGTAAAAGGCAAGTACTTTTGTAATGTAGCAGGAAAAAACCATGAGTAAGGCTTTTCAAACAAGAAAAATAAGTAATAAAAATGTGCCAAAAAATTTGGCCTCACTTAGAATTGTTGTTGTTGTTGTTGTTATGTGCCGTGGAGTCGGTTCCGACTCATAGCGACCCTGCACAGGGTTTCCAAGGCTGTAAATCTTTACGGGAGCAGAAAGCCTCATCTGTCTCCCACGGAACAGCTGGTAGTTTCGAACTGCTGACCTTGCGGTTCACAGCCCGATTCGTAACCACTACACTACCAGAGCTCCTTCAAACAAGAAAAATAAGTAATAAAAATGTCACAAAAAATTTGGCCTCACTTAGAATTGTTGTTGTTAAGTGCTGTTAAATCAGTTCCAACTCATAGCGACCCTGTATAGCCACTCCAGGTAGTGGTTGATGAGCTTGAACTGCCGATCTTATTATAGTTCAAACCTGTGGAGAATTTAGAAGTATGTATTTTAAATGTTTATATCTTTTGACCCAGTAATTTCATGTATGAGACTTTGTTCTATACAAATAAGATAAATATTCAAAAAGCAGAAAGAAGTATTTGTGTATGTAGGATTAGTTATGTTATACCAATATATGAAGGAATTACGAAGCTTAAGAAATATGACACAGTTGTACGTTTATTACAGAGAACATAGGTTCTTTGCTGATGGCGAGTAGATGATGGCAGGAGAAGTCAGGGATAGCCTCTGTTTGGTACTGTATCTTCCCCTGGGACACTGCCATCCCACCTTATCTCCTAAACCAATGAACCATCTTTTAAAACGAAATTTGTTTGAGGCAAATGTTGTTTGTAGACAACAATACATAGAAACTTTGAGCAGTATGATAGTAATCATCATGACAGGATCTGTTTCAAAATTATAGGGATGGTCTATATAATTTCTAGGGGCTCTGGACATATCTTTTTGATCGAGATTTTGATGTGGACTACTGAATTAGATTTTTATTTAAATTATTTTTCCCAAATGCTAACTTTTTAAATTCTTAACTTATTTACTGAATAATCATTCCATTTCCTTTGTGGGTGGGTCATTTCAGTGTACTAAATGCTTCTGCAATCTGCAGGTGTCAGATGTCCTTGGGCTTCCTCTGAACAAAAGATATTAAAGGGAGTTTCTTAGAAAATTGTGAAAGCTTTCATTACTTCTAACGCATGATCTCGTGATAGAATAGTTAAGAGATCATAGAGAACAAGAGGAACACAAGTAAGTACAAGTATTTGATAATGACTGATGTTTTTATCTTTTAGGTCTTACTTGACTGGATGATGAAAATTGGTTACCACACATCCCTGTATAGCCTTTCTAATTCCTTTCCCAGAAGGCCCCTGGAAGTGTTGGGAAGTTGGACACTGGAGGACATAGGCATAACCGTGGATACCGTACTCAACATAGAAGAGAAAGAGCAGAGCAACTAAGAAATGACAACTACCTGTTCTGCATAAAATAAGTTTTGCCATGACCTTAATGGGCAATAAAAGATCCAGTTAAAACTGTGCCATTCCTTGATTGATTTAAAATCAGGCTGTGGAAGCCAGTCTTCAAGATGGTGGTCTCAGTGATCCCATTTCAGGTATTCACACCTTTGTTCTGTCCCCTCCCCACAGTAGATCTGTGTTGACCAATGGGATCAACCAAAAGTGATATATGTCCTTTCATGAACTAAGTTGTAAGTGACAGCAGCTTTTATCTTTTCTCTTACCACTTGCTCTTGGGACAGCATGTTGTGAGCAACCTAATGTCAGGAAACTAGCTTTCCGCCAAAGGTTTCATGGGTGATCATGGAGTGAGTTCTCCCACCCTAGTTCAATCGTCAGAGACCACAACCCCCACTGATACCTTGGATACAACCTAATGAGAGACTTTAAGCCCAAGTCATTGTTCCTATATTGCTGACCTGCAAATACTGTGTTGTTGTTGTTAAGTGCTGTTGAGTCGGTTCTGCTCATAGTGAACCTGTATAGGGTTTCTGAGGAGCATTTGGTGGGTTTGAACCACCAACCTTGTGGTTCAAACCGACCTTGTAGTCCAGTTCTTATCCTACAGCACCATACCAGGACTCCTACTACATCTCCTTAATACATCTCAGTAATAAATCTGAGCTGGTACAGGAAATAATCAGAGCATCACCCACCCACCAACAACACAAAGAAGTCTTTAGGAAAAGTTCTTAGGAATTCTTACTTTTCTGGGTATTTAGTTTCTAAGTTTGTTTTCTCTTAAGATTCCATTCAGAGACTTAATAAGCTCCCATTCTTTCAGTCTTAATGTGGCGTTATAGGATAAGCACTGGACTGCTAACTGAAAAGTCAGAGATTCAAAGCCACCAGCTGCTTCTCAGAAAACCTATACTGGGTCATTATGAGTCAGAACCAACTTGATGGCATTTCACATTCTTTCAAATAGACTCAAATGCAAATAGAAATGAAAAAAGAATGAACATTTCCACATCTCAGCAAACTTGAATAGGTTCTATTTTCAGTGGTCCATCACTATCCATTTCCAAGGATTTTGATTCCAGAAAATGAGAACACCATTAAAAAAATTCTTTTGAACAACTGAAATTTTAATAATTAACAAATATATTCTAAAATTTGTGAACAAGCTTCCTCTTCCCACTCCTCACAAAAACCGTTAGGGTCATTTATTCTTAACAGACATTTTTTTTCAACTCAAAGAAAAAAATACCCAGGTGCATGTACAACTAAATAACTAAAAATAGGGATGCTTAATTGTCTCCCTGGTAACAAAAGTATTCTTCCTCTGAATTTAGGGACAGTAACTATGGCTGCCTTAAAAGGCATCAATGTAGATTCTCTCCAAGAGACTGATTTAACTCAAATTAACACAGTTATCTTTAGAATCTTGGCTGTTTTTTTTTTTTTTTTT